CTGTTTCGGTTTAGTCCGGACTGCACGGTTGTGGGCAAGCCTGCCACCGAGGTTGACGGTGGCTACTACCATATTGTGGTCTGAGTCTGTTTTGGCTGGGCGAACCGGCTGAGGGATGACGACCACGTTAGATACTCGACCGTGATGTGCCTGCCTTGTCAGGATGTAGTCAAGGCGCACATGGGTTCTCGCCGAGGGGCAACCGCGTTGTGATGAACAATACGCTAGACTATCTGTAAAACATGGCGATTAAGTCGCAAATGCTGTCATACGTGTCCCGTGATTGACCCTATGGTGTAGTCGGTAACACTGCACACTCTGAATCTGCCACCCTGAGTTCGAGTCTCAGTAGGGTCATTGTTTTCTCCCGTCGCCTAGACATGGGTTCTCGCCGAGGGGCAACCGCGTTGTGATGAACAATACGCTAGACTATCTGTAAAACATGGCGATTAAGTCGCAAATGCTGTCATACGTGTCCCGTGATTGACCCTATGGTGTAGTCGGTAACACTGCACACTCTGAATCTGCCACCCTGAGTTCGAGTCTCAGTAGGGTCATTGTTTTCTCCCGTCGCCTAGACATGGGTTCTCGCCGAGGGGCAACCGCGTTGTGATGAACAATACGCTAGACTATCTGTAAAACATGGCGATTAAGTCGCAAATGCTGTCATACGTGTCCCGTGATTGACCCTATGGTGTAGTCGGTAACACTGCACACTCTGAATCTGCCACCCTGAGTTCGAGTCTCAGTAGGGTCATTGTTTTCTCCCGTCGCCTAGACATGGGTTCTCGCCGAGGGGCAACCGCGTTGTGATGAACAATACGCTAGACTATCTGTAAAACATGGCGATTAAGTCGCAAATGCTGTCATACGTGTCCCGTGATTGACCCTATGGTGTAGTCGGTAACACTGCACACTCTGAATCTGCCACCCTGAGTTCGAGTCTCAGTAGGGTCATTGTTTTCTCCCGTCGCCTAGACATGGGTTCTCGCCGAGGGGCAACCGCGTTGTGACAATACGCTAGACTATCTGTAAAATATGGCCATTAAGTGGCAAATGCTGTCATACGTGTCCCGTGATTGACCCTATGGTGTAGTCGGTAACACTGCAGACTCTGAATCTGCCACCCTGAGTTCGAGTCTCAGTAGGGTCATTTTTTTCTTCCGTCGCCTGGGCATGGGTTCTCGCCGAGGGGCAACCGTGGTGTGATGTAAAATACGCTGCTCGCTTCACAACCGTGGTACCGCTTTTGGGATTCTTCTTGGTCCTTTTTCTTCGTTTTTTTTTTGTCTTTTTTTTTGTTTTGTTCGTCTCTTTTCTTGCTTCGTTCTGTTTTGCGGTAAACATAGTGGTGGTCGAGTAGAATATGTTGTGCGGGGTCAAGAACCTTCACTCTGCCCAACGCACCACGTTTTGTTCAATTGGTCAAGCACCCTCGAGGCAGTTACACAGCAGTGCTCATAACTGTCTCTGAAAGTGAAAGCCCCACAAACAAAATGAAGTCATTCCCTGCTGTCATCTGTACACAAGGAAGTAAGCACAAGATGCCGAACCCCCTCAGCAGGATGCAGCGCACCCTTCATGCGACTTGCCGAATACCTCACGGCGCTTCGCGCTTGGTGATGTGAGAGCCTGGTACGGTGAGAACCTGACGTGCTCCGTCCCGGGTTTGTAGGGATGCGAGGTCAGTGGCCTAAAGAATACGGCATGCACGACTATGAGTACCCCCCCCCCCTTGGGCGTAATGCCTACTGCCGTAGATACCTTGATGTGCGCCACGAAATCCGCCCTGGGCATAAGCATCGCCACGGTCCGGGGCACGCGGTAGAGCGAGTCCTTGATCTCCGCCTCCGGCACAACCCTGCCCGTCTCCTCCGCTCGTCTCCTAGCCCTCTCCAGCACCTGCTCCTCGCTCGCGTGCACGTACAAGATCGCGATGCGGTACTTCGGGTGGTTCTGGGAATGACGGCGCAGGGGGCGGCGGGGGAGTGGGGAGAGAGACGGAGGTGGATGGGGTTGAGGGAGGGGGGGGGTGGGATCGGGGGGAGGTTGGGTGGATTGGTCAAAACCCGAGTCAGGATTGATAAAGAAGTATCAGGCCACTCCGGTTCATGACCGAGCCCGGCGACTAAAATTGTCGTTTGGATCAGCGAAATCAGGTCGGCAACTCCCGCTTTGCCCGCCCCGACTTGTCATACGCGTGAATGTCTCGCAAGACGCACTTGCATGTCGAAGCAGACACCAAGAACCAAAATAACACACGACGCATTCTATCTACGCCTGTGCCATGCACATTCTGCACTCGCCACACACGTCACCGACACACGGATGCTTGTGCACACGACACAACCACGGGGAACATCTCACGTGCCAGAGAAATCTGTCCACCCCAAACAGCATCAGTAGCCTAGGCAGGTTTTTATCAAGCGAACACATGAGATAAATCGTAAACTCGACGGAATTTCCTTGGTTACGGTTAGGGATAGGGTCCGCATATGCGTCTCTATTTCATAGAAAAACTTCAGTTCTTCGCGTAGTCCCCAGAGCGCTCACTGTTCCTTGTCCCGACAATGAAATACTGGCGTCCTTTCACTTGGTCGGCCAAATAGCGCCGTCAATGCTAACTAAAGAAGCAAACACCACACAACACAACAAACACACGCCATACCTTGCGGATGTCTTCGAAGACTTGTTCGTACCACTTGCTGTCGCGGAGCGACCCGTCAACCCAGACGTTCTTCATCTGACTCATCGCCACCTGGTTTGATGGCGTCACCGTCACCGCATGTCAAGGCGGGTAGAAGACGACGACGAGAAGACGCACCCACGCACGCACGTGCATGGAGACATGGCCAAACATGAGCGCATAAGCTAACGGCAGCATTAACAAGAGCGAAAGAGAGACAGTGAGAGCGCGGGCGAGAGCAAGAGAGGAAGAGAGGCGCAGATACATACTCCGGAGTACAAATCAACCACCACAGCAGCCGCACCATACCTACGACAAACACGACAACGCTCCTGCATCGCGGTGTGTGCTCTCGGAAAACAGAAGCAATAAATATAAATGCCGCGGTGAGGCGGTATATTACGCAACCCACCTCCTGAGCAATCTCGACCAGGTAGCCGCTCTCCCGCCGAGTGAGGGACCCCGCCGTATCAGGGCAGTGCCGGAGGTACTCGGGCCACTCCGGAAAGGAGGCCTTGAACAGGTCGGGGTCTACGGTAACGATGTCCGGCAGGGGAAAATAACCCTTTTCCGACATCCTGGGAGGCAAAGTGGGGCGACGTGGGGGGGGCGGGGGGGGCA